ATTCATTGATTGTTGCACATTCTTCCCCCCACCCACCACTTTGAGTTCCTAAATTTTTATGGCCAGTGTGAATGTTGGAGCCTGTGTGCACTTTCCCTATTTTTCAGGGTACCAAACACATCTACACTATTGTATACCTTGAAGGGATGCAGTCACATGCAATGTATAACCTCTCCAAAGATATTGACTAAGCATTTCTAAGTCTATGTATATCTCATTGTAGAGCCTCCTTGTGTTCTTTGATCAGAAGTGTTGTTTATCTGTGTTTTCAACAGCATCAGTGTGCACTGAGACTCCTTAATGGGGAGAGAAAACCCCAGAGCCTGACAGGAAGTGTGCTTTTCACCACAGTCCTCTCTTCTGTGGAAATGGGGACACTTCTGAGAATCTGCCTAGGTTTTTGAACAGACGTTCCCCTAGGCTGTGTCTCTGTGTTTGTAGTGCACAATAGTACATGGCTGTGTCTGTAGGGCTTATGTTGGTCATGGTCAAGAACACTTGACTTTTGGAGGTGTCTCTGGAAATTGTAAGCCGATTCTTCAGCGATGGTGCATATCTTTTATTATCATTCCACCATATGTCAGAAAGCCACTCAGGTGCCTTTCCTTGAGGCTGACGGAGCCAGCCAACACCAACATTAGTAGTGCTCAGTGAGAATCCAGAGACGGTGCAGGTCAGTGATAGAACCTCATTAGGTTTCAGCAGCCCAGGACCAGACTCTTTCAGGGTGACCTGAGAAAGAACCATTGTAGGAAGAAAACACAAAAAGAAAATAATGCTGATTTAAGAATTTGAGAGAATTCATTTCATCCCTTAGCAATCTCTGGATCAAAGCACTCACAGGAAGGGAGGTTCAGCAGCAGGAAAATGGAATGAAGTAAGTCCCTGGTGTAGTAGAATTCACAGATGGAGAGTCAGGAATCAGCTTTTAAATCTAGAAGAGGTTCACAGTGGTGGAGATTTGCATACCCTTTAAATATGCTCTGAACCTATTTATTCAGGGGATAGGTTGCAGTATAGGATCTGTCACTGTTAGAGTCAATGAATGTTGTAAGACTCCAAATTAATAAGATTAGATAGTCTCTCCTGAAATTCCTACTCAGAGATAGTTTTACTTGTGATTATTGCTCTAAGGTATGGCGAATTATCAAGAGAGACATATTTGTTTTTATTCAAGAAACAGAAGGACAAGAATGGATTGGTAATGAACACTGAACTGCAATAGGTGAAGAGAAAGCATATCTGAAAATAACATATGATTATGTATATTATTGTTGTTGTTGTTATGTGCCATTGAGTCACTTGCGACTCATAGCAACCCTACGCCCAACAGCCCTAAGCCCTGCTCTATCCTGCCCTAATGTCACTGCCTCTGACACACCCATCC